TCTCGCATAATCTCAAATGTTTCTTTTTTCTTTTAAGAGGATGATGACGAAATCCGAAGAAGATTCTGGTCCGACGGATGTATTGACTCCATTGGACAAAAAAATCCTGAGGGAAAGACCGGTGAAACCATCAATCAACGCTAAAGAGATGCAATTACATTTTGAATCGGGAGTCGCAGTAAAAGTGGTTGTGGCTAAAACGATTTCCCGAACAATTTCTCTACCAAATCAAAGCGAAAGGTTCAATTTATTATCTAGTTTCATGTGTAATCTACTTCCAAAAACTTTAAGACTTTGGATATTTTTGTAATCGTTCAGCTAAAAATAAAAAGTTTATGGAGTAGTTGATAACACTTCATTATGCTCTGATCATCACAAAATCTAGAAGACATGTAAGACCACCGTCGCAACTACGGTGGCTCCTCCGGCTCCTGACCACCGTCTCGCCGTCCCCGGCACATTCACCACAGTTCCCTTTGCAACTGCGAGCAAATCGGGTCTAAAAGTCAACACTATCTCATTCACTACACAAAAATTGCAGGTCACAAGAATCATCGTTAACCACTCCAAACCAAACTAAATATCCACAATTTTCGCCACGAATTTCAAAAGCAGGTAGCTATTTTCAACAATCACCAGAAAATTTGACTTAATAATTGTCTCTCTTTTACAACTAAAATTGAACAGTTCCATTAAACAGAGAACTATACAATAGACAATATCCAAAACCATATAATTCTATATTGCTTCACTGAAACATTACATCAAAGTAAACCAATCTTTATATCAAATGATAAATGTTTTTATGCCTTACTTGGCAAGGTAGGTATACTCTGTTCATTCCTGAAGAAATTCCCGGGATCAACCGCGGTTTTAATCTTGACCAATCGATCGAAATTCTTTCCGAAATACATCCTTCCGTAAACCTCTCCTTCCTTGTAACTATTCGCCCCATGATCGTTAACACCGATGTCGACATCTCGGTAATTAAAGTAAGCATTTCTAGGGTTCTTGCTCACAAACCGTGTCATGAAACTATGAAGCACTTTAGCCTGATTCAAGTAACCCTTCTCTAACTCTGGAGACGATTCTTTCCAGTTCACCGAGTACTGAATCTTGAAAAGCTTCTTTCGATGCGGAAATGGCGTCGCGTCCTCGGCGATTTCCGCCATTTTCCCACCATACGGATTGAAAACCAATCCGATTTTCCCCAATTCGATCATTTTCTTGAACAAAGACTCAATCCCATTCCTAGGAATCTCAGTAGCTACATAATCCGATTTCCTCTTCCCGAAACTCGACGTATCGAGTTCCCGATCAAGAAACACTTTAGGATCAGTCTGAGTAGCGTTAATGCGATTATCCCACCATAAAGCAGACTGAAACCAAGTCATCTCCGTACAATTCTCCTTCTTTAAACTCAATTCAGGGAACTCCTTACGAAGCAACGAAACGACATCGTTTGCTTTCCCTACAAACAGAGCAACCACTGAAGCTCTCACTGTCTTCACCTTCTTCCTCGTCACTGGTTGAATCAACATTCTCATAAACAGATTCGGATCCGTTTTCGGACCAACCGATTGCCATTTGTGAACCATATCCACCGCTCCTGAATTCATATACTGCTCCACACGGAAAACCGTCACGGTTTCCGGTACCGGAACAAGCTTGACCTTGTAACCCAAAACGACGCCGAAGCTAGCTCCACCTCCGCCGGTAATCGCCCAGAAAAGGTCCTCACCCATCGATTTCCGGTCTAGAATCCGACCATTCACATCGACGATCTTCGCATCTTCAACGTAATCCACCGATAAACCGTACTTCCTCACCATGTTACCGTACCCTCCGCCGCTTAAATGACCACCGACACCAACTGTCGGACAAACTCCGGCGGGAAATCCAAGAACTTTGCTTTTCTCCCAGATTCGGTAATAAACCTCGCCGAGAGTAGCTCCGGTGGAGATCCAAGCCGATTGATCGGAGATATCGACGGAGACGTCACGGAGATTCGACAAGTCGAGGATGAAAAAAGGTTTATCGGAGATGTAAGAGAGACCGTCGTAGTCGTGACCGCCGCTTCGGATCTTGAGGACGAAATTTAGGGGTTTTGAGCAAGTCACGGCGGCGCTGACGTGGCTATAGGAGCGAGGAGTGACGATGATTGTGGGTTTTGGAGTGGAAGAAGTGTTGAATCTGGCATTGCGAATGTATGCACGGAGAACGGAAGAGAAAGATGGGTTTGTCTGAGAGAAGACATTGTCGGTGATTTGGGATTGTGGAGATTTGGTCTTATCGGAGAAACATTTGAGGAAGGTGTTGTAAACAGAATTCGAAGAAG